CTCTCTCTCTTTCTCTCTCTCTCTGGTTTAGGTAGGGAGTCCTTTCACTGTTGATGTTAAAATATACATGCCATGGAGATACTTCTCAGTTGGGAAAGTACCCCTTTATTAAAGGACTAATAGATAATTTATCATTGTGTATTACCAAGTATTGATTGACTATATTACCATGAGTTCTGAGTAATTTTGGTGCTAACCGAATTGGAAGGAACTAGTATTAACTGAGAGCTTCCTTTTATTTAGGTTACTTATTAAGAGAGTATATGAAAAGGATTATTATGTATATTGGTATGTATGCACACCCATGTGTGCTCCAAAAAGGTACTGATTACCCAAAAGGAGCAAGGAATTGCATCTTAAAGAGAAATCTGTCTTTATAAAACATTAAGAGGGTTGCTACAGAGAAAAATCATAGCTTAAATGCTTATACAAGACCCAAGGGTGGTGGCGCATCCCTGTAATCCCAGTACTTGAGAGGCTGAGTCAGGAGGATCACTGTGAGTTCAAGGCCAGCCTAAACTACATAGTGAGACCTTGCCTCAAAACAATCAAAAAAAAATTGTATGTACAAGAAAGGTAGAACACATTAAAATCAATGACATAAGGTTCTAACTTAAGATGCTTGAAGAAAAAGGAATAATTTTAACCCAAAGGAAGAAGGAAGTAAACAGCAAAGAATAGAAGTGAATGAAATAAAAGAGAAGCAAAAATTTAAAATGTTAAAGGCCAAAAGATGGATCACTGAAAAAGTTAATTTAAACCCTATAAAGACTGATCAGAGAGAGAAGAAAAAAGACAGGTCACAAATTACCAGTTACAAGAATGAAAGATAGGATATAGCAATACAAATCCTATAAATATCAAAGGATTATAAGAGAAAATTGAGGGCAATGTTATAGCAATATGTTTGACACCTTAGTGGGAATGATGACAACTGGCTAAAATTGACCTGACATTACCTTTGTGTTTGTCAAATTTTTAAATATATGAATATATTAAAATATATATGGGAAATATGTGCATATATCCATGTATGTCACTATCTTTTCAAAAATGCCTCACAAAGAAAACTTCAAGCCCATATAGTTTCAACATTACATTCTAAGGAAGAAGTAACATCAATTTATACCAATTCTTTCAGAATAAAGAAAGAGAAAGAGCCTTGCCCAACTCATTTTATGAAGATGGCTCATCTACTACCAACACCTGACAAACACATTACAATAAAAGTAAATTATAGGGCCGGGGATTTAGCTCAGTGGTTTCGCCACCTGCTGCGTGCAAGGACCCTAGTTCAATCCCCGGTACCAAAAAAAAAAAAGTAAATTATAAAGTAAATTATAAAAAAAGTAAATTATCCATTTCCTCATTAACATAGATGTAAAAATCTTTAATAAAGTATTAACAAATCAAATCCAGCAATATACAAAAATGAGAATATACTATGATCAAGTAGGATTTTTCTCAGAATTCTAAGGTTAGTCTGACACTTGAAAATAAATCTCTGTAATCTAGTATATTAACAGAATAAGATAAAACATGATTCATGCAGTAAAAACATTTGATAAAAGTCTACACTTAATTATAATTTTTTTAAAGTCTTAAGCAAGTTAGAAAAGGGAATTTCTCTCAAGCTGGTAAAGAGCATATTTAAACAATCGCTACTGCTGACATTAATTAATGATGAAAGACTGGATATTTTACTAATCATATCAGCAACAGGGAAGGAATGTCTTTTCTCACCACTTTTATCCAGCATTGTATTGGAGGTCCTAGCAAGTGCAATTAAGCCATAAAAAAGAAATGAAGGGCATCTGTATTGGAAAGGAAGAAATGAAACTATTTTTATTCAAATATGACATCATTATCTGTGTAGGAAATCCCAAAGAATCAACCAAAAAAACCTGCTAGACCTAATAGATTAGTTTAGCAAGACCTTAGCGTACAAGTCCACACATAAAAATGGTTTACAGCAGATGTGGTGGCAGGTACCTGTAGTCCCAGATACCTGAGAGACTAATGCAGGAAGATCAGTCAAGCTCAGGAGGTCAAGGCCAGCTTGTTTATCCAGGAATAAACAATTAGAAATTAAAATAAAACAGCAGTACCACTTACTGTAGAGTTTTTTTAAATACTTAACAAAAGACATGTAAGGACTTTTGCAATGAAAACTATGAAACTTTTTCTTTCTTTTTTCTTTTTTGCAGTACTGGGGATCAAACCCAGGGCCTCACACACACTAGGCAAGCACTGTACTATAGAGTTATATTTCCAGCTCAGAATGTTTCTCAGAGCAATTAAAGACCCAAATAAATTGAGAGGTATACTGTGTTCATGGATTGGAAGACTCAGTATTGTTAAAGCGTCATTTCTCTCCAAATCAGTATAGATTCAGTGCATTCCCAGAAGGTATTGTTGTGAAATTGACAAGCTGAATGAACCTGCCATGTATCCAGAATAACCAAAACAATCTTGAAAGCCATGGAACCACCAAGTATCTAGAATAGCCAAAACAAACTTGAAAGCAAAATAACAAAGTTGGAAGATTCCTACTTCCTAATTTCAAAACTTATCATAGCCAGATGTGATGGCACACATCTGTAATCCTAGCACTTGGACAGCTGAAGCAGGAGGATTACTACAAGTTCGAGGCCCGCTGGAACTAAATAGCAAGACCCTGTCTCAAAAAAAAAAAAAAACTTATAAAGCTATAGTAATCAAGATAGTGAGATATATATATGTGTGTGTGTGTGTGTGTGTGTGTGTGTGTGT